GAGAGAGAGAGAGAGAGAGAGAGAGAGAGAGAGAGAGAGAGAGAGAGAGAGAGAGAGAATATGAAAGATAAAGTCGCTCTTGTTTCTTTAACCATGCTCCAAATTACTGATTTCTAATTGGTCCAAGGACCCAAACTGTTGGGTAATGTGGAACACGCTCACTCTGAAATCTGGCCAACAAAAAAAGAAGCTGACATAAAAACTCAAAGGAAATCACGACTCTTGCAAAACAAAAGACAAAGGGTGTACAAAGGATCATAATTCAAATGGGAAACCTGCTTGATAGTCCCAGCTCAACACAAGGCTTTCCACTTCTACTTGACATCAGTCAGTTGAATGTCAGCTGTACGTAGAGCAGTTTTGCTAAGGGGTGTGAAGAAAACATTTAAGTGGAAAACGTATTCCCTGATCCTCAAGGAGCTTACGACAGCGCTGGAGAGATTAGCCGAGTAACTAACACTCCAGGGCGGTCAATGAAACGTGACAAACGAGTTGGCAGGGGCCTTGAAGGAGGAGGAATTCACACACAGTTAGGGATCATTTGAAGCTGGGGGCTTGTCAAGAAAGGCTTTAAGAGGTGGGATATGAGGAAGGCGCTAAGTGGAGAGGTGGGGTTTTAAGTGGGCGGGAAAGCGAGGCGCTCCTCGTGAAGGACTCAGGGAGGTAACGTCGCAGTGCTGCGCCGGGCGGGCCGGCCTAATCCCGCGGCCAATGGCGCGTGCGCAGTCCAAAGCTCGCGCCGGGCGCGCGGCCTGCGGGAAACCGGCCAGGGCCCGCGAGCGCGAGACCCCGCGCGCCAAGGCGGGAAAATATTCGCGCATGCGCATCCCGGCGCTTCGGCTCGCCAGGATGGGGAAGGGGAGGTGGAGTTGCCAAGAGGGAACTTGACCCGTTAGCAGCCGCGGCCATGGCTGCGCGCTCGCCGCCCTCACCGCTCCCTCCGCCCCCAGCGCGACAGTTGGGTCCCCGGTCTCCACGTATTGGGCGGGGAGCTGAGGTACACGTAGTGCGCAGTGAGACCTCGGGTCTTGCCGGCGCAGCGCGGGAGGCCGTCGCGGACAAAAGTGATATAATCTGGTGGGCCGAAGAAGGGTCAGGGGGCCAGCGCGGGCCGAGGGGCGCAGCTCTGGCTCATGCTCCCCTCCTCAGCGCGCCCATGGGGTCCAGGCGGCTAGAGGGCATCTCGGTAGAGGAGGCGATGGTGACCCGCACGCAGCTGCTGGAGGAAGAGCTGAGCAGCCTAAAGGAGGAGCTGGCCCTGTGTCAGGTATCGAGGACTGTTGCAGCCGGCCTTCCCCCTCAGCGGGGCCGGCCCGGTGGGGAGGCGCGCCCTTCTCCCTCCGCCTCGGGCTGCGTCTTCCCGCGGGCTCGGGACCTCCCCAGAGCCGCCCGCGGCGCTCCCTCCCGGCTCGCACGCCCAGCTCGGCCTGCTGCCTCCGGCTGGAGGGACGCGGCAGTTTGCGGGGTTTGGTTTCCGTCACTTGGATATGCGCAGCTGCACCGCCTCCCCCTCCCCAGAAGCCCAAGTTCTCGGTGGTGATTGTAGTTGATGGTATCGAGGTGCCCGCGAGTGCAGTGCAGTCCACTAGTTGTAATGAACAGGAAACTGTAAACACTTTTGTTAAAATAAAATCCCTCGATGAAGGAGCCTGTTTTAAATTTTCAAACCCACACTCGCCCTCGTTCTTACACGGTCAAACTTAAGTTGTAAACACAGACCAATAATTTTTAGGGAATCTCGCTTGGGAACTTTCACACGCAATAGCTGATGCTTGGTAGTTACTAACCAACTATCGTCATTTCGTGGTCCTTGAGTGAGAACTCTGATTTTCATGGGATCTTGCCGGCGAAAAGCATTTGGTAAATCAGTTGCATTAACATTACTTTCCTGTTTGTAGAGTTTGTGTATGTTAAGGGTGAGCTTGATTGTACTCATGTCAATAGAGATTTAATTTTCCTTTAGTTTTGCATCCTTAACCACCGTCTGTTCTTTGGTTTTGCCAGAACCTTAAAACAGGGTTGGGAGGTTAAATGTTTGGAAATCACTCAATAACAGATCTTTAAATCACGATTTCTTCAAGATAGAAACCAATCAGGAACTGCTAAACAGCAAGGTAACTTTGTGTATCATCAGTTTAGGTTGTTAAAACAATTCCTGAAATTCATTCTCTCTCATAGTTTGTTCTGTTGGATTCTTTTGCCCCTTTTATAGGTCCTTGGTGAGTCAAGACTAAAAATGGGACAATCAAGTTCAAACTGAATATGCCGTCCTCTCAATTTTCCATTTTCTGTTCTTCACTGGTTAAGGAGCAAAGATATAAGTCGAAGACACCAGTGAGCTAAAGCATTTTGTCATCTTCACACCTTACCCTTGGGAGTTTAACAATGTGAACCCATGATTAAGCATCTAAGAAGCTGCTTGCTCATATTTTCCCCTTCCCTGCTTTCCCCTCCCCCAGTTATGCCCTTAACTGGCTTAGGAACTAAGATACTTAGTTTTTATGCATGACTTGATTAAGTCGGTCTGTTGGAAGCAGCCTGATAAACCCCTTCACCATATCCATTCACTATTATCTTTAAAATGTGTCTCCAAACATGGCATTGGTCTTTGTGGCCATGGACATATATGGACTAAGAAGATGATTGAAAAACTCTTGGCAGATGTAAGAACATAGAGATGGTCATAATTAGCCTAGAACAATGGTTCTTGACAATTTGTAACATTAATACCGTTAGATGATCATAGGCATTCCAGTAATGTGAGATGAGGTTGGCAGTATCCAACACCGTAAAACTTCAGTCAAACCAGGCTTCTGCTCTTGGGAAAACTTGGGAGAAACAGTAATTTGAACTCCCAGTTGTTTTGTAAAAAAGCATTTAAGTAATTAAACATTAACTTTTAAGTCTTTTTAATTTATTCTTCTACTTATTTATTCAGCTGGAAGTCACAGTACCTAAGAACACATAGTATTAAAACTGTGCTACTAATTGCAACCCCCCAAAATTCATTTTACATCTCAACCTAGTAAGTACACACACATACGTATACAGTCATGCGCTGCATAGTGACATTTCTGTCATGATGCACAACATATACTATGGTGGTTGGAGCAATAGGCTATGCCATATAGCCTGGATGTGTAGTAGGTGTGTTGCCTAATGTTGCATTTCTTAGAACTAGTTAAGAAGTAGTTAAGTGATGCATAACTGTACATATTTTCAGAAAGAGTATTGACGCTGACTGTGTCATAAACTCTGATACTTTCAATTCTCTTTTTAAAAATCCCATGCAGATCTACTAAATTTCACAGCCCAGTAATGGGTCAGACATACAGTTTGGGTAAAAGAACCCTGCTAATTAGTCCATTGTCATAAGTAGTAGCTTCATTTAAGTTAGTTGTTTTTGTTTTTGTTTTCACATTCAGCATATGGGAATTCCATTGTATGTGCTTGGTGAAGAAAAAGAAGGTTTTAGTGACTCCATGTACCTTTCAACTCCATTGGAATGCCTCAGGATAAATATGTAATAGGAATCAAGTGTTTCTCTTAATATGAGCAACTTGTCCCACTCTATGAGATTGTATTATATAAACTTTTTTTTTCATATGGCCCCCAGATTAGCAAGCAAACTACACATAATACTTAGCTGAAGAAAAAATGATTAATTTCAGTGAGGGGAGTTAAGCTGTCTGTATTGGACTTATTGAGGATTGTAGGTTAGTTTCCAAATGTGTTTTTTTCTAGGGAATTTTCAAGGGTATACCAAAGGATAATTTTGAGTCCACAACATTTATGCCTTATTTCATTGATTTAGAACGTAACTTCATCATACTTTTGATTTGTTTATATATTTCAAGAATGTGTTCTGTTTGCAGCAGCACATTCTGGGGGTATGTGTATGTGTACATTTATCACCATTTGTACAATACTAGATAAGAGAAAGTAATGTTTTTTTTTTTTTTTTAAAGATGACTGGTAAGGGGATCTCAACCCTTGGCTTGGTGTTGTCAGCACCACGCTCAGCCAGTGAGCAAACCGGCCATCCCTATATAGGATCCGAACCCGTGGCCTTGGTGTTATCAGCACCACACTCTACCGAGTGAGCCACGGGCCGGCCTAGTAATGTTGTTTTAATATAGTATTTATAAAGCTTCTTTTCTTTTTTTTTGGTAGCAGCTAAAAAATATTTACTAAACCTATAAACCAATTTTGGATAAAAAATTATTTAGGGCATTTAAATGAAATATGTATTTGTTCATTACCACTTTAATGTTGAAAGTAACTTTTTTGAAGCATGTGATGTTGGAAGAGAATATGAACAAAGAATGCATCAAGTTATATTTTACATTAGAAACTTAGATGTGTTGAAAAATTTTTTTTGAGTACATATTGTGTCATTAATTCCTTCCATTGTTAAGAGCTGTATCCTACTAGGTGAATCTTTTTGTGATTGTTTTTCATGGTGATAATTTACTAAGTGGCTACTTTGTGCCATACATTGTAAGTAAGTGTCCAAGATTTTTCCTAAGTTCTGATAAGCAAATTATTTGTTTAAATGTAGGAAATGGTTTTCAGATATTTGTTGAATTCATTTCTCTAGTAGAGGTCAGTTGAGGGCCTGATTTATTGCCAGACAGTAAACTAGGTGTTCGGAGAGTAGGTACCCAGGGAATAAGGCAATTTTGGGTGTCTGTGTATGTATAGATGATATCTACTTGTATTTCCATGCCAGCTGATAGTGGAAGACAAAAACCATCCCATGTCTAAGAAAATTTAGACATAATGACTTAGCATTTAGTGAACTGTTTCATAGGCTGAGTTTGATAAATTTTGTGAAACAGTAGGAATTTTTATTTCAATTTAAAATTATTTGATTCTGTTTAGAAGTTCTGTAGGGAGAATAAAGAATTTTATGATTAGTAATTTTTAAAGGTTTTTATTTTTAGTTTTTTTAAAAGAACATGTATAAGTACTCAAAGGGAGGGAAACTATAGGAAAATATACAGAGAATATTATTGGCAGTTATTTCTTTATTTTAATAGTGTCTAGAACAGTTTGTAAACTAGTTCTGTGTTTTTTGGGGGGGGCTTTTCAAATTTTTTGTATATAAGAGGGATCTTTTTAGTAATTAGAAGTATAATCCATATTGAAGATAATATGAAATTTAAATAACTAAAAAAATTCGTAACTCAAAAAGCTCATGCATACAATAGTTCCACAATCTATTCATAGCATTTTGTTGCTCACAAAATAACTTACTTTTATTCATTACTGGACTTAATGTACAGTATGGTGACTATAGTTAATAACATTGTATTGTGTACTTGAAAACTGCTAAGAGAGTAGATATTAAGTGTTCTCACCACACACACACAAAAAAAACAATAAGTATGTGAGGTAGTGTATATTTAATTAGCTTGATTTAGCCGTTACACAATGTGTACATATATTAAAACATGTTGTACACAGTAAATATGTATAATTTTTATTTGTTAATTAAAAGCCATAAAAATTCTAGAAAAAAGGATGGGTAAATATATTTCTAACATTGGAGTAGAAAAAATGGGTGAATTTGAATGTATAAAATTAATAAATTTCTTTTTCTAAAAAAATCCCCATCATAAAGTTAAATAAACAACAACAAACTGGCAAAAAGATTTCTAACACATTTGGTGAACATAAGTCTAATTTTAAGATTTCCTGTAACTTTCCAACAATACTTCTTTTACTGGCAGAACTTAGTCATGTAGCCAGTCCATAAGGCAAGAGAGGTCAGTGTGTTAGTTGGCACCAAAGATCCAAAATGGTTTCTGAAACTCAAAGAACAGAATGGATGATGGAGACAGATACAAATCAAGGTAGTTGCCATATAAGTAAACCCAAACAACCAAACAAATATAAGATTATTAAGTGAAATATGTCATGGGAAAAAAAATGAAACAGGTAAGAAGTTACCAGAGACTTGTGGGTTTGGTGGCTATTATAAATATAATAGGGAGGAATTCTTTTGAGGAGGTATTTTTTAAGCAATGTCCTGAATGAAGTGAGGGAATAATCTCTATGAAAATCCGATGGATGGTATAGTGTATGCAAAGGCCTTTGTTCAAGTAGAGCAAGAAAGTCAGTGTGAACAAGGAGAGTGATAGATGAGGTTGGATAGGTGTGTGGGGGGCCAGATCATGTGGGATTTTGGAGCTTTGGTAGAGTTTGGATTATTTGTCTGATCTGATGGGAATCCATTGGAAAGTTTTGAGCTGTAAGGCTAGGAGACCATTGTAGAGAGCTAGGCAAGACATGAAATTGACTTGGACTAGGGAAATAGTGTTAGAAGTGGTAAGAGTGGTCAGAATTGGGATATATTTTGTAGATAAGACCATAGGATTTATTGGTGGTTTGGTGTGAGGAAAAGGAGCAACCAAGATTGACTTCTAGGTTTTAGGTCTTTGAACAAATGAGTAGATGGTGGCGTCATTTTCTGAGATGCAAAGGGGCAGGTTTATGAGAGGCTAAGTAATCAAGAATTTTATTTTGGACAAGTTAAATTTAAGATGCCTATTAGGCATTTAAGTGGAATCGTTGAATAGGCAGTTGAAGATACAGGTCTGGACCTAAGTGTAGAGGAAACAGCTGGAGATAGAAATGTGGGCATCTCAGTGTAGAATTGGTATGTAAAACCATGGGACTGTTATGAAGTTCCCTAGAACAGTGTTTCTCAACCCTGAGTGCACAGATTCACCTGAGGAACTTTTAAAAAATAGTGATGCTTGGACCTTACCTGAGACCAATTAATCAGAATCTCTAGATCCTCACTACTTTTAAAAAGCCCTCCAAAAGTGATTCCTAATTGTCAGCTAAATTAATAACAACTGAATAGGCAATAAGGACTGAAACTGTTTATTGTCCATTGGATTTGGCAATATAGAGGGCCTTCAAAAATATATATTTTTAGCATAATGGTGGGGAGGGAAGTCTTACTGGAGGACATTTATAGAATGGGAGGTGAGGAAGTGTAGACAGCGACTATAGCCAACTCTTTCAAGGAGTTTTGCTAAAACAGGGAGCTAAAAAATGGAGCAGTGGCCTGAGGGCAATTTCTTTTGAGAGCAAATTTGCCTCGATATTCATCATTTCAACATTATACCCCAAAATGTGGGTGATAGGAATAGTAAAAATGAATGTGGGTTACCAGCGTAAGAGCTTTTTAAAATAAAGCTTTCCTGCCACACTTATAAAGAATATATTTGTATGTTTATAGAGCTAGGGATCAAGTAATTATGTTTTTTCATTTTTTAAATTTAATGTAGTGTCTTGTCTTCTTTGATATTGCTACAAAGCAGTGCATTTAAAATATCTTTTATTTCTTTAAGGCTGATAAAGAATTTGTATGGTCTTTGTGGAAACGTCTCCAGGTGACAAACCCAGATCTCACACAAGCAGTCAGTTCGGTTGTGGAAAGGTGAGCTCCCAAATTATTTTTTCATGAGTATTTGGTTTGTTCAATTTGTTTCTCTTTATTGTTAAAGTTAAAATTTGTTACTAATGCACTAAAGAGATTCATTTGATTTTCAAATGAATGTGCAACAGAATATTATAATTAATTGAATTTATTGCAAGGGATGCCAGTTCACCAAGTACAGGTAGGCCTTGTCTCCTGCTCAGATTCTGACATATTTGGGAAGTTTGCAGGAAAAGATAAAACTATGGCTTAGACATTGTGTGTGTGTGTGTGTGTGTGTGTGTGAGAGAGAGAGAGAGAGAGAGAGAGAGAGAGAGAGAGAGAGTGTGTGTGTGTGTTTGTCTTGAGCTATACATAGCTTAACTTTAAAATTGGAGAAATCCCTGTTGTTTGGCTTCTTACTCCATAGACTGTCTCTGTAGGGAACTTCCTAGACATGACTCACTTTTCCTCTAAAATAATTGTAGTGTGTACTTGAAAGCCTGGGGTGACCTTGCCAGAGTAAAGTATTTTGGAATAGGTTGAGGGATTCCACTTAGCACTCCGTATTACCCTGTAGGGGATGCCCAGTCATTTAACTATGGATTATTGGGCCTCTCCTTGGTCGTTAGAAACAGTGGAGTGATGCTGAGTACTCCTTATCAAACATTTGGAGTACAGTAGTCCCATGACATTTAGCACAGCAGTTAAAACACTTGCTTTCCTATTAAATGGATTTCATTATATTTCCTAAGTGAGAAGCTTAAGCATATGGATACCTTTTCCTTTTTCATTTTTCTTTATCGGGGGCTGTCCTATTAGCTCAGTTGTTCAGAACATGGTATTGGTAACACCAAGGTCAAGGATTTGGATCCTTGTACTGGCCAGACACACACACACAAAAAAAGACAATGACGACATGGTGATGGGGTGAAGAGATATCTATAGGCAAAAAATTATGAAACAAAAACATTTTTAAAAGCATTTTTCTTTATTGGAATCATGATCATATAATCTGAATATCATTTTTGATAACTTGAACTATATCCACCTTTGAAGTATCTAGGCCTGTGATCATTCCAATATTGTCTGGAATATTTGACTTGTTAACATCTGTGATATGTGTCTGACTATGTCTAATTTTCTCATCCTTGGTAATGATGAGCTCAAAATAATGTAATCAGTTTCTCCTCGTGTTTCTTGTATGTCTAATTCATCAATCAAATTTTTCCTTTTGTGGATCAGCAGTAAGTCCTTTGTTGAAGTACCCTTGTTACTCTATCCTTGAGATGAAATGTGGTCACTCTCATTCTCCCTCTTTTTTAGTACAGTAAACCTAGAGAAACTTTGGGGCTTTGTCATTTTTTTTTTTTTTCTTTTTTCCGTGTCCGGCAACGGATCGCAACCCTCAGTGTTGCCCCCGTACCGGACCGGGGACCGGCAACGGGATTGCAAGCCTCGGCGTTGCTC